AAAGTGGAATATGAGTGTACTTTAATTCATCCATTCATGTCTTCTGCCTATCCAGTTCAGGTCACTTACTGTAGGAAGCATGTCCAGGGAGAAAAGCACCACTCCTCAGCGACACTCTTCTCATTCTTTCAATGCATTCCCATGTATTCCACATACAGTCCTTCTAGCATGGTCTCGCTAGCGGCTCCCCCCAGTCTGAGGTATTGTACCTAAAAGCATCAAAAGAGAAGTCCCCACCCCAGGGTATGTTTTGATAAAATGCCTGGACTATTTTGTCTGACTCGATCTGATTTGGGGGAGCATTGACACCATTCCAGAGCCCAACCAGATGCCGGAGCCTCTCTGAGAACAAGTCAAGGCAAATAGTCTCATTTTTACCAAACTTGCTGATGCCAGAGGAACATCAGTTACAGTGTTGGAAGCTGAATCAAGCATTTTATTGTATAAATAAAATAGGAACTCTCTTGGGTCGACCCAAAATGTATGCGTGTAAAAGAAAATGTAATTCCAAAGTATGCAATGCAGCCATAAAGCAGAGGAGAGAACTATAGTGAGGAGGTTTAGTGCAGAAACTTCTATTCATTTGATGTTATCCTCCTTTGATCTGAAGTTTAAAAGGTTCAAGCCGTTGAGAACATTGTCAGCTAAAGATCGAACATGAAAAAGGATCATTTTCTTTTTGTGATTTCCTTATTCAGATTGTGCCCCTGCTGGTATATTTTCTACAGAGATTCACAGCCACATCTTTTATTTATCACTTTATTTTTAAGCTGATCTAAAAGTTCAGAGGCAAAAGAAAATGCTGATCAAATGGTAACACTGATATAAGAAACAAACTCAAGCTGTGTTTTCAGACTAAAAACTAATTTGTTATTTCAGACTGAATCATTAACGAACCCACAACAACATAGCAAACAGAAAACATGATGTTGAGAATTTACAGTTAAGTGTGGCAAAATCCAGTTTATAGATAAACCAAATCCTCCTTTAAACTGGAAATCCAGGCAGCTATGCTGCCAGTTCAGCAGCAGGGCTGTGGATCACACTGATTACTCTGGGCTGACTGTAGAAGATCAAACTAATCCCAAAATACTAGATAAGTATGTACATGGATTGGACATGTTTAATATTAAAGCATCCTGAGATATGTATATACATTAGATTTTTTTTTATTTGAATTGATTTAAAGGTGAATGTGAACATTTGAGTGTGTTTCTGTGCATATGACTGAAGCATGAGAAGGTTTATGTTGGTTTCTTGCAGAAGCATAGCGTGCTGGATGTTACAAGCAGGATTCAGGATCACCTTTAGCCCTCATCATCAGTCAGACCTGTCCTGAAGCTACCAAAGTGTGAGAAAGGAGGATGGAAGACAATGGTGCACAGATGGGGTGCAGGCTATAGATAAACGTGTTAAGAATGAAGAAACATATTAATTCTTCTGCAACTTATTTGCAGCAATAAATGCTTTCTGGTTTACATAGGTGTTTGGTGCTTCTCTTCTTCAACACAACTAAGACAAAAAACTGGGTCATTAATAAGGACATAAAAACGTTTGATTCAGGTGTGGAAGCACAGACACATCTAAAGGTGTAAACCTAGGGGACTGGAATTGAAGACCTCTGGTATAATAGGTCTTTTAGGTCTTTATCTGTTTGTGGGGAGTTTGTATTCTTGTTTGACCTTGATCCACTAATTTAACTGAATTGAATTGAATTAAATTATACATGCACCCCAAGCACATTTACATATTCATTAAAACTCTCAACAGAAATTTTGAAGTGACTCAGGTTTTTTTTTCTGTTTGACTTAACTTTGGGCTCTCTGTGCTCTCAGGGTGTAATTATCTTTGCCAAGATCCTTCTTAAAACACAACAGTTTTCCTCTGGATTCCTTTTCCATTGTCTTCTACTGCAGCATCTTAATAACTGCCTCAATCCTTGCTTTCCAGTTCTTTACTCTCAGGGACTCAAGGAGATCTTCTCATTCAATCAGTGGAACTCACAAGTAACCCAAGAACGACTCAAAAATACAGTATCCAGGACTAACCAAAAGGACCTTGCTGCTCATTTAATACTCATAAATCTCAAAATCATAAGATCCACCCCATTACAGACATTCCTCAATCCTGTTTAATTAAAATCCTGGCTTCTATTAGCAATACATCATGCTATCCAGACATAACCTGATTTCTATAAAGTCTAACAATCACAACTGATAATTTCATCATTGTAAATAAACTTTTTCTCATTTATTTTTATGCTCTGTCAAATTCTGGAATCCTCATCTATGTCAGAAACTTCTAGAAAACTGTTAAAATGTTTATGCAGCTTACTTTTTACAGTTTAAGGGAGGATTTGGTTTATCTTTAAACTGGATTTTACCACACTTAAGTGCAAATTCTAAACCTCATGTTTTCTGTTTGCTGTGTTGTTAAAAGTTCTTTAATGATTCAGTCTGAACTAACAAATTAGTTTTCAGTCTGAAAACGTAGCTTGAGTGTGTTCCTTATGTCAGTATTACCATTTTTTGTTTAACAACCATGTGCAGATTGTGTTTGTATGGTTTAAGTAATTGCTTGTTTCTCCGTCCTACAGTGTCTGGGGCTCTCTGGGCGGTGCCCGCTGCATCTTGTTGGCAGCCCACCAGCTGGATCCTACATTTTTCTCTGGGCATGGACTGAACTGTTAAACCAGGTTAGTGACCCACGCCTTCATAACTATCCTCTGTCAGAATATCGTGGTCACTAAACTGTGTTTCCCTCCTGCAAAGGTTCCTGACCTAGAGGCTATTACTGCAGATCCGATTTATAATAAACGCTGTTGAGTAATCCCACTGTCTTCCCTTGAATACTGGGCCCTCTGTTCTGAGTCATGACAAAGAGAGTTGTCCTTTCAAATTGCAACACCTAGTAGCTTTTAAGGATCAACCATGTTATCCAATCAATTTCCCTAATCAATAAATACATGTGATGTACAAGAGCAACCCACGCAGATGTCTGTTTGAAACTAAGAACTGCTGGAATTGCAGCAGTACAGTCTTGTATCCTATACATTGCATGGCTTACAGAATTAGAACACATTTAAAAAAAATGTCAAAATTCTTCAATGGATGTTTGGAACCTCAACTTTTCTTTATATTTGAAGGATATTCCTATAGCGTGTGAGCTACACACAGTGCCAACATTTGTCCACACAGTTGGTCTCATTTCCTGATTCTCCAGTCAGACGCTGGCTTCTCTTTTGTAAGCCTAACCCACAATGATATCAGCTTCCGCAAACACACAAGGCGTAACCATGGCATCGCACAAAGACATTTCTAGCCCAAAGAGAGGAAGGGGAGCATCATGCTTGACACATTTATGGGGGACGATCTGGGTTCCGCACCCCTCTTTTCCCGTACCCTCCTCCTTTTACTCTTTTTCAATTGCTGTTTGTTCAGCCGCCTGCTGTGGAAAACAGCACGGTCGGTCCATCAAAGAGCTCCTCTGATTTCCCAGGGCCAGGCCTGACTTCCATTATGCATTTTAGCTTCATTATGTCCATCTACTCTTCCATTAAAATTTACCGTTATCCATTAAGTACTTTTGTACACCATTGGACAGACTCATATTTTAGTCTGCCTGCTTTAGTAGCTATCTGGTCTAGTCAAGTGGAGCCATGACAATAAAGGTAAAAGATCAAGTGTAGCAGAGATTACCAATAGGACTTTCTTATGCCTAATGGACAGAATTAGTGTGTGAGAAAGGGGAAGAATATGGTAACTTCTTGGATGGATCTTTATTTTCCAAATAATTTTGCCAGGTAAAGAACATTTAAATACAAATGAAAAATAATATCTACCCAAAATAAAAGTAAAATTTTCTGCAGTTCTTGTGAATTTATTATTTTTTTTTTTTAAGTGATTAAGATTCTGTAATATTTGAAGTATTGTAGTACAAGATGGCATTGTTGTGTGTGGCTGGCCATCTGCCTCTGACAATTTTGTTCATGATTGCCCTGTTACTGACTATTCTTATGTACAATGTCAACTCAATGCTGATGTTTGAATGACAAACACTTTTGGATTTTCATTTTGCTGTGGATAGCTCACTCTATTAATCTTGTTAGAAAATTTTAATGAAGAGAAAAGTTAGATCGATTTCCTTTTGGCTTTAGTGGTAATAAGACTGAAGTTATATTATCCCACATCAGTGCACCTTCTGTTTCCCACCATGTATTCTTTGAATCTTAGACCTTATATTTAAAATACACTGCCACCAATCTCAAGGTGAAATTAGAGTTCAACCTGTGTAGTAAATTCTAGCTTTCTTCAATTGGAAAAAATAAAACCATTTTTTGGGGTCAGAAAAGCTGCCATCTTCTGCCTTGTCCGAATATTGTCCGAAGTACTTCTGTCTGCCTTTTAACTTTATCACAGAAATAAATCACTTGCTGGAATGCTTTCACCCGCAATCTCAGTGTGCTACAGAATGAATATTGATCTTGTACCTTTTATTTTTTTGATACTTCAATGCTTTTGCTCCATCACATCTCTTGGACTTGCTTCACAAATACTTTCCTTTACAGACTGTAAGGTAAACAGATCAGCAGCTCTTGGTCACTCCAAAGATGAAGCTTGATCTCAGATGGGATTTGTTTTTTTATGAAGATACCTCTAACACCTTAAAATTTTAGGCGGCTTACACTGAATGGAGCTCCTTTTAGACATTGTGCAATAATGTTGATTTTGAATCTTTGTTATAAACTTGAGATTTTTGACAGGAGGATCATTTCTTTTAGAATTTTCAGGCTTGACAAAGTAATTAATAGGCGTCTTTGAAACTGCTGACACCACCTGCCTGCAGTTTCTCTTGAAGCTAAAAATATTCTCATATGCTTGATTTCCACTGTTCCCGCTTCACCTTATCTTGATGTCCCTGTCTTGTTCTTTCACACAAACATCTTTACTTCCTGTGGACAAAAAAAAAAAAAAAAATGGAATAGCAATCTTATCCTACACTGACATTCGACACATTTTTTTTATTTTATTTTAACTTTTGTTTTCATAAGCTACAGATCTGTATAAATGAGGCCATCACAATGATAATCTGCTTTTAAGAAAATACAAAGACAGCTATTTGGTGCTATAGTAATCTTGCCCAAAATGACTTATATGATTTTTGTTTTTACTGCCTGCAAAATGAGTTGGAAAAAAAAGGCTTACAAGTTCTGACTGCTAAGTGTGCGATTATATGAAGAAAATAATTCTGCATGCTTTGAATTTAAATGAGATAAATTGAACATCATTAAAGCCTCAGTATTGTCTGTTTCACATTAGATCCTACTGTATAACATACTGTATGAAAGATGCAATATAGCATTCAGCCATAAAGTTGGTGCCTCTTGCTGGATTTTTTTTGTTCAACAGAAAGTGCCCAATAACTGCATTTCTCCCTCCAAATACATGTCATGTGGAGCATTGTTCTTTATGCTGCAGTCTCAGATCATACACTTTAAGCGAGCTTGAAAGCACCCAAGAAGGTAGAGTCTCCTTCCATGGAAATGTTGGCCATAGACCGAGGAATCAGAAGTTCCAAGTAGTCTCCCTTCTCCAGCTTTACAATTCCTGTAGGATTAACATGTGTACTTTAGACAGGCTCTATATAGAAAATCACACCTATAGTCTAACTTAAGCTAAAAAAAAACACTTCTTGGTCTATGAGTTGCTACAAGTGGACATAAAATATGACTGAAGCTCACCTCCCGTATAGCAGGTGTTGAAAGCATAATCAGGGTTCATGCTTTGGATGCAGCGGAACAAATGCACATCCTGATCCTCATTTCCCACTACATACCTCTTCCGCCGGATCACCACATGGCCCATTGTAAATGTGCTGTCCATGTAGTAGACCTGCAAAAAAACAGAATCAATAAGTTTTGTTTATTACAAAAAACCTGAAACAGATAGGAAAGATTTACCTATGTAGTTTATTTTGATAAATGAAATTTACATTACATCCTCTTGTTTGACCCTTCCTCAGGGTCACTAAATACAATATATGCTCTGACTGAGCACCTTCTTTTAGCAAGAATCTTGCACAAAGGAAAAGAAAGCAACATTTTTGCAGAAAGAGTAGTAGCAGCTCCTAGTGGTTAAACGAGGGATTTACAGTAATGGAATCTACCTGACTGTAGACAAAGTAAAAGCCAGCCTCCTTCACTGCAATACGGTCATCTTCTGCCTCCAGGGCTGAGCCTGTCCTCAGCCCAGCTTGCCACGGGATACCGGTGTACAGACCTGAAGGCAGGTCTGGTCCAAGATAGGGCCTCCCATTAGAAAACATGCACAAAGCACCAATAGCTAACAGACACATTTTTTACTGCAAATTTTAACCTGGAAATTTGTAGCGCATTTCTAGTAATGTCAATGAACAAAACACGGTTGCCTAAATAAAATTAAAGTAATAGACTCTGTACCCTTTCTGAATGGTTGTCTGCTGTTGTTTGCCAGAAGCTGCAGGCAGGACCGAGAACCTAGTATAAACCAGAAAGAAATTATGTCAGCACTAAAACAAATATACAAAATAAATTAAAGGGTGGTTTAAAATAGAGTTATGAGGTATTCCAAATCAACGTTAAATCCCGATCATCTCTCTTTTTATTAGTAATAGAATAAAATCTAGCCATCAATACACAAAACAGTGGTTGTTTACCTTGTTGCACTTTATTTTATTTTTCCTTCAGAAAACTCAGATTACGGGATGATGTAACCAAGGATTCACTTATTGACAAGGTACTGCCTGGACAAGCAGCCATTTTTATTTGAACAATATTTAGTTATTCCAGAAATAGCTAAGATCAGTTAAGCTTTTCCACAACAAACTCTCATTCATGTTTTTATTTCCTCATTTTCTGCTCATGTACACAATTGTGTTATACAATGAAACAGTCATTCCAAGACAGGTTGGACAAAATGAATGCATTAGGCAAGAAATGGACTAAAATGTTTTTTTGCATGGTAAGAGTTATTCTTAATTAAACAAAAGGGCAAATCCAAACTCTTTAAAAACAGCCCGACACCCCTTCTACACCAAACAGGACATTTCACACATCACATACTGTATAGTGAAGTTATTGCTGCCCTGGCAGCTGCCAAATCCAGACTCATCAATTCAATTGTCAGGCAAAGTGCTACTTATAAAGACCACCTCTCTCCTATTCTAGAGTCCAGTGATAGCAGCTTCACACTACTGTATCTAAGGCTTTTAGTCGCAGTAAAAGATATAAAGATTGGAGTCAGCTGCTCAACTATGCAAACCCTTCCCATGAACATCTCCAAATGGTTTTCATGAGATAATTTAAAGCTGCATAAAATTTGGGCTTGGTGACTAATGTTTTCTGTGTGACATAACATCCATGATTTTATCAGGCTTAAAACCAACGCTACTACTATAATACTAATAGAAGCAAGAGGAGACTCTAGATTTACTTTTTTATTTATGTCTTGTCCATGCAGCCAATTAAATGGATTGAAACTCTTCATTTTAATAAATTGGATGAACAAAAATTTTGGTAACATCATGTACACCAAAGCTAAATATCAATTTATTGTATTTAATGTTCTTTGCAAACTGTGAGCAGTTAACCCAACAAACATCTGGAATTAAAAAAAATTTCTTATATTATATATGTATATATATATATATATATATATATATATATATATATATATATATATATATATATATATATATATATATATATATATATATATATATAAAAATCTTTTTTACCCTGAAGTAGTTTTTCTCTTCTGTCAAAAGAGGACTGGTGTGTGTACAGTTTTAATACTTCTCATTTCATTTAGGACACTAATACAAAATACAAATATTGTCACCTATGGAATAGTTGTTCATTCAGCCTCTCAAACTGATGTAGTAGTAATAATATTAGTCAAATACAACTAAATATAAATATACATGTAATATACTGGTAAATGACTCCTGATTTTGCTACAGTTAACTTTTCTTCTACCCCCATAAATGTATGCATATATAAATCAAAAACATTTTTATTTCAATAATCTTATATTGAATTTTGATTTCAAACATCTTTTAAAAATTAGAATCAATAAAATTGAGCAAAAAACTTTTTTTTTTTAAGATATTGATAAAAATAAATGTATGACTTGATTCCTTTATAGCAGATTTAGCAAAAGACTGTTTTATATATTCTGAGATATTTTACTAGTTAATTAAAACAAATGTGGAGCAACCGCTAAGAATCTTGCTGATCTAAAATCAGCAAGATTCTAGATCCCCTTTAACTCCCATGAAACAAATATTTTAAAGTATAAATACTCTGAAACAACCTTTTAAAGGTATAGAATACACTGATAACGGTGTTAAATTTTCCATAAAAAAATTAGGCACATGAGCTAATAGGTAGACTATTATCGATTCTGAAAGGATTTCACGTCACATACCTAACATCCCTGATTCAGCAATGTTTCTTTTTCTTCTTATTTGACTAACAACATGTTGAGACTCTGGTAGATCTCGTAGCTCTTGGTTATTTTCTCTTGCATGGATGTTTTCACTCTGCAGACACACAATATCATCCTTAAAAACACATTAAAATTACATCTACCGTAGGGTAGCTGTAACCTCTAATGACTTTTACTTACCTGACCTCTGGGGCTGACCTTTTGCCACTCTTCTCTCGTCCGGCTGATGTCTGTCTTGAGAATCTCTACTTCATCTCCCAGAGTCTTTAACTGGTAAAGGGAGAGAGCCGAGAGAGTAGAGGAGGTGACGGCAGCTAGGGTCAGCAGGAAAACTGGCCAAGATAGCCTCCCTTCACTCGCACAGTGTCCAGCTCCTGGCTTCATATTTGCTGAAACTGCCATCACGGGGACACATTAAACCCCTAGCCAGCTTACACTAGCAGCATGACCAATATTAATCTTGAACTTTTTCTCTTTTCACAGAGTGGGAAAACGAACAGTGGAGGTTTTCCTTTCAGTCAAGTTCTCTCAGGAGCGTTAAGCTATACTGAAACTTGATTCCTTTTGTCCCGACTTCCTTAACTCTTGTTTCTTTCAGTGGCTGACTCTTGTTTGGTCTGAGAGACTACGCAGTATAAATAAATTAAGAAAAAAAAGAAGGCAAAACAGCTTCCCCTCTGTTGTTCCGCTGAAGAAACCACACCAACAGCTTCCTGCCTGACCAGCAGCATGCAAAACTTTTTCTTTTCTTCATAACAGACAAAATACTTTTCCTTCCCAACAAAAACAACAGATGTTAATGTATAGGAAGGTTGTTTGATATGACAAAGGGAATTATAGTCAATAAACACCTTAGATAACATTATTAACAACGAAAATTGTCACAGTCTGAAATGAGGAAGTGCAAAAGTTGCTTAATCTTCTCAGAGCAACCTAACATGTCAAAACAAACTTTGATTCTGAGAATAAAAATGTGAAGTGATATTTTTTAAAGATTCTAAGACAAAAGTCAAAAAGAAATGGTTAAACAGTTTTAAAATATTTAGTTTAGAGAATATAATTATTACAGTCTTATTCTTTCAATGCAACAATTGAATTGTTTTCACTTCAGCGTGCTCCATAACATGTATACTCATTCATTGCTAAATTTTTGTAAATTTCTGCTTTTGTAGTTTTTTTTTTTTTTTAATGAAATGTTTTCTCAGGTGACCCCATTTTTTTAATACATATCATATATATATATATATATATATATATATATATATATATATATATATATATATATATATATATATATATATATATATATATATATATATAATATGTCCAAGACCTGCACTTTTTTGAACGAGTCAGGGCTGCTGAGATGACCTGAGAAAAATCTTTGCATGTTTGATATCATGTAAAAGCAGCAATATTCCTTAATTTTTTACAGTTTCCCCTCAGCCTCTCCAACCATGCATAACTTTGATTCTGTTTTATAATTTTGTTCCACTCATAAGCAGAATCATACAAAAAATATGCAGTATTTGTGGTAGTAATGTAGAAAATGTGGGACAAAAACAAGAGGTATTAATAGCTCACATAGAGCAGACATACCATGACCAAAAAAGGCCTATAAAAGGCCTTATGAACTTGAGACTGTATCACGAGGAAGTAATTTACCAATGCAACAAAAAAATACTCCAAAGTTCCCCAGGCATGAGATCATCTCCAAAGGACAGAAATGAAAGCAGCCGTCTTTTCGGTGGTTAGTTGAATTTAGGTTTTCTTTTTCATCTGGGAAAAAACAACATTTAGATATTTTCAGCTGAATGTGCAAAACTGAATGCCAACTGAGGTCACACAGATTTAGTGGTTTACATCAGTGTGAGGTTATCAGTGAATAGAGAGGGATGATTTTTCAGTAGCACAATATAGATGAAAAAGGACAGAAAATTTAGATATTATTTTACACAACTTTTCCAGAAGTGTACTATCCAGTGTCTGGATTCCTGTTTACAACAATTATGACAAAGATCTGTTCCGCAAACATTTTATAAAGCGCAAATGAAAAGAATTGTAAATAAACCAGCATACAGGTCCTACTAAAAATATTAGCATATTGTTATAAAGTTAATTATTTTCCATAATGTAATGATAAAACTTGAACATTCATATATTTTAAAGTCATTGCACACGAACGGAAATATTTCAGGTCTTTAATTGTCTTAATACGGATGATTTTGGCCTACAGCTCATGAAAACCCAAAATTCCTATCTCACAAAATTAGCATATTTCATCCGACCAATAAAAGAAAAGTGTTCTTAATACAAAAAAGTCAACCTTCTAATAATTATGTACAGTTATGCACTCAATACTTGGTTGCGAATCCTTTTGCAGAAGTGACTGCTACAATGCGGCATGGCATGGAGGCAATCGGCCTGTGGCACTGCTGAAGTGTTATGGAGGCCCAGGACGCTTCGATAGCGGTAGAGTGTTGGGTCTTGCGTCTCTCAACTTTCTCTTCACAATATCCCACAGATTCTCTATGGGGTTCAGGTCAGGAGAGTTGGCAGGCCAATTGAGCACAGTGATACCATGATCAGTAAACCATTTACCAGTGGTTTTGGCAGTGTGAGCAGGTGCCAGGTGGTGCTGAAAAATGAAATCTTCATCTCAATAAAGCTTTTCAGCAGATGGAAGCATGAAGTGCTCCAAAATCTCCTGATAGCTAGATGCATTGACCCTGCCCTTGATAAAACACAGTGGACCAACACCAAGAGCTGACATGGCTCCCCAGATCATCACTGACTGTGGGTACTTGACATTGGACTTCAGGCATTTTGGCATTTCCTTCTCCCCAGTCTTCCTCCAGACTCTGGCACCATGGTTTCCAAAAGACATGCAAAATTAGCTTTCATCCGAAAAAAGTACTTTGAACTACTGAGCAACAGTCCGGTGCTGCTTCTTCTTAGCCCAGGTCAGGCGCCTCTGCCACGGTTTCTGGTTCAAATATCAAGTTATCGAGTTTCTGACTATTAACTGCAGACTGTTTTATCTGCCCAGAGAGTTCAGTGTGGTTAGCATTGCTGCTGTTTACGTGCCCCCCCCCCAGCGCTGATACAAAAGAAACCATGAAGACTCTATACCAGGCTATCTCTGAGCTCCAATCTGCACACACAGAGGGTGTTTTCATCATTGCTGGGGATTTTAACCAGGCTAAGTTGAAGACTGTTCTCCCTCCTTTTTACCAACATGTGGACTTTACAACTCAGGGTGAAAATATTTTGGACCTAGTTTACTCTAACATCAAGGCTGCCTTCAGAGCAGCCTCCCACCCTCACCTCGGGTCATCAGATCATCTCTTGGTTATGCTTAGCCCTGCATATAAACCCCGGCTGATCAGGGCTAAACCGACAGTTAAAGATCCTAGTGGGGTCTGAGGGTGCAATGGAGACACTTCAAGACTGTTTTGAATGCTCTGACTGGAACATTTTCAAGGCTGCAGCAAGATATGACAACTTGGTAAATATTGATGAGTATGCCATGACTGTGTCAGCCTACATCAATAAATGCATTGAGGACATCAGCATCAAGAAGAACATCACCACCCGGGCTAACCAACCACCCTGGATAAATGGAGAAGTTCATAAATCGCTAAAAGCAAGGAACACAGCTTTCAAGTCTAGTGATAAAGAAGCATTGAGAACAGCGCGTGCCAACTTAAACCGTGCCATCAGATCAGCAAAGCAGAACCATAGCCACGAGATCCATGGCTGTGATTGCTACATCCCCCTGGTGCGCCAACAACACCAGGAGGATGTGGCAAGGCATTCGAGTGATCAAAGACTACAATACACCCTCCTCTGGTAGATGCAGCAAACACTGACTTCCTAAATGAACTGAACAACTTCTTTGGAAGGTTTGAGGCACTAAACAGCACTCCAGCAGTGAAAGCTGCTCCACACCAGGGGGAGGAGGCACTAAACATGGACGTAGCTGAAGTGAGGAAAAACCCTGAGGAGATTCAATCCAAGGAAGGCCCCAGAGCCTGATAGCATACCTGGTGTATAATGAGTGTGCAGATCAGCTTGCTGGTGTCCTCACAGACATCTTTGACACCTCGCTGGACCAATCCAAAGTGCCAGCATGCTTCAAGTGCTTCACCTCACTAAATGATTACCGGCCTGTCGCACTGACTCCAATCATGATGATGCGCTTCTAAAGGCTGGTGAAAGAACACATCGTCTCCAGTCTGCTGCCAGCATTCGACCCGTTCCAGTTTGCCTACCGATGGAACCGCTCCACTGAGGACGCCATCTCTGCTGCTCTCCACCTGAGCCTGACCTGGACTACAGAGAGGAGGTGGAGCAGCTGGTAGGCTGGTGCAAAGATAACAGCCTGATCCTGAACGTGGAGAAGAATAAGATCATCTTGGACTTCAGGAAGAACCGTCCTAACCACGCTCCACTGCTCATCAACAGCTCAGCTGTAGAGGTGGTAAACAGCACCAATGTAAACATCTCACTGGTCAAAAGTGCACAGAAGCGCATGTACTTCTTGCGGAGGATGAGGAGAGCCCACCTGCCCCCTACCATCCTCACCACCTTCTACAGAAGCACCATAGAGAGCGTTCTGACCAGCTGTCTCACTGTGTGGTGTGGAGGCTGCAGCGCCTCAGACTGGAAGAAAGTGAGAAGAGTAGTAAGAACAGCAGAGAAGATCATCTGGGCTTCCCTTCCCTCCATTAAAGACATTTCATCCCAGCGCTGCTTGTCTCGAGCCCGTAACATCATAAATGACCCCTCACACCCCCACCATGGACCGTTCTCCCTGCTGCCCTCTGGGAAGAGGCTTTGAAGCATCCGCTGCAGGTCCAGCAGATTCTATAACAGTTTCTTCCCCACTTCCATTAGACTGCTGAAGGTTGTGTAAAATGGGTTATTTTATTTATAAAAAAAAGGAAATGACTGTTAGAACTGTAAAGATATAGTCATATGTTTTTATTACTATTTTTTTATGTATTTATTACTGTTTTCAAGGCTGCACTTTTACAAAATGAAATTGTCTAGAGCTGTTTTAAACGAAATTTCTTTTAGTCTACACTCGTGTATACAAAATAAATCTAAGTCTAAAAGTGGCTTGACCTGGGGAATCGGCACCTGTAGCCCATTTCAAAGGTCTCGAATCGGCACGTCTCCACAATCTTCCTCAGGTCACCTCCTCTTGTTGTATAGTGTTTTCTGCTACACTTTTTCCTTCCCACAGACATGCTTTGATACAGCATTCTGGGAACAGCCTATTGGTTCAGAAATATCTTTCTGTGTCATACCCTCTTGCTTGAGGGTGTCAATGATGGCATTCTGGACAGCAGTCAGGTCAGCAGTCTTACCCATGATTGGGGTTTTGAGTGATGAACCAGGCTGGGAGTCTTAAAGGCATCAGGGATCTTTTGCAGGTGTTTAGAGTTAATTTGTTGATTCGAAGATTAGGTGCATAGCTCGTTTCGCAATGAATCTAAAACATATGAATGTTCAAGTTTTATCATTACTTTGTGGAAAAAAATAGACTTTATCACAATATGCTAATATTTTGAGAAGGACCTGTACTTCCATGTGGCATACAGTTCTCTACAAAGTCCAGTATATCATTAGAATCTAAATTTTATTTTCAAGTCCTGCATTAGATTAATGGATGATATGTAGCATCTTGCTGCAAACACTGATGGAACTTTAGTAAGCATGATTGTAGCATTGAGCTGTTATGAATTGTGCCAACCCCCCTTTCTCTAATAACCTTAAAACTGCAATGCATCCAGTTGCATTCAACACTTTTCTAACTAGTTAACAAATTCACGTGTATAGACAAGTTAACAAACCACCTCAGAAATTATAAGAGTCCAGACAAGTGTGTCAAAGGCCATAGGCCTATTCTAAAACAGAGAAAACCTTTACAAGGTACCCTGGTCAGTTTGAACATCTAACCAATTTTCAGTCTAAATGCATTTTCTGACCAACAATACAAACAACCAAAAAAATCATTATCACTGCACATGGACACACGGCGATGGTAACATCATGCTGAGGGAAAGAAAATGTGGTCAGTGCTGACAGGAAGATTGACAGCTCTAAATTCAGAACGATTCTTTATAACTAAATAGATATGTTTGCATAAGGAAATAAACTTCAATCAAAAGAAAATTTGACTATATCAATTTATTGCATGTCACAATACAGAAAATAGAAAGTGAAAATGTGTTCTTACAAAAGAAGTTAAAATAGAAAAAGACATGATTCTGAAACGGAGAGTCAGTCAAAGCGACTGCTTTGTTTCAATGGTATAAACAGCTCATTCAGATGTCTCATCAATGGTTCTTTAAAGTGAAGTTGTGGTTTAAAGACAAGGTGCATGTACACAAAGTATTTCAACACTGCAGTTTCATTCAAGACACTTGCCATGACTTAATGTAAACACATGCCAGCTTGAAAAATAACCCTTTTTTTCAACAGCAATCATTCTTATCTGTTCATTGCCTGGTGTGCACACCTGACATTTAGTTAAGAAAAAAATCACAATTTAATTTTTGTTAAAGGAATCCACATGTGGTTATGACATTAACTTAAAAAAAATGTATGATTTTATCATTTATACTTGAAAAAAATATATATTTAGATAGTAAATATGAGACAAAATTAGTGGGAAAGTAACAAGTGTATATTCACAAAACTTGACTTTGATTGCAAAAAAAAAAATGCTTCTTCTGAAAATTGTTTAGTGCAACCAGTGATAAGAAATCAAAAAAGCGTGGGGGATGATACTCAATCTGTAACAATATATTTTAGTCCAAGACCATTCCCTACATTCATTTTGGCCTGCAGATGATTTTTAAAGTTGTAATAACATCATCAGATTTAAGCTGGGTCTTTCAGCTGCGCCAATCAGATTTTTTTTAACCTTTCACCTAATATTAGCGAAAACTACTGAAAGTATTTTAATGGCTTTAAAACAATTGCAGTGCAATGTGCTGCATTCAGAAAGCAATAGCGAATAATTGCATTTTAAACCTCAGGTTTTAGCTCGATCCTGTGGAAGACATGCAAGGAAAGGTTAATTAGCTATTTAAAAGCCCTGCCTAAGAGAGAAAAGCCATTTTTGCACAACTGCATGGAGACAGGATGTTTTTTAATTAACAATTAAAATGTAAAGATTAGCTCATAAATAATAACATTCGACTAGAAATGCTCCAGACTTTATTTGCAGCGCTTTAGAGCACTCCCTTCCTCAAAAACATACTTTAATACGAGACACAAAGTGGCACATAGTGTATGTTTTAAAGAGGAAGAACAAGCACCGGCCAATTACTGGAAGTCCCCAGCTGAACTGGCCAGTGTGCTAAATGTGTAAGACAAAATAAAATTAACAAAAGTTTGAAAAAACGTACTTCTGACTTTTGTGTGAAAATATAACCCTGCAGATTACCAGCAAGCAGCTGGCAATAGAAAAGGATAACAGTTTTCTTGATACTTAACTGGGTGTTTTTTCTACTGCTCAATATTGTTGACTTGTTTCATTATATTACAACTATGAATTAAAATATCTGTTTATTTGGGCCCAAATTATTTTCAACCAATTTCTTTTGACATTCTTTCCAAGCCAAGAGGATTTCCACAAGAACCAACCACCAAAGCTTTGGCAGCAAATCAGTAACAACCAAATCTCAGTTGATCCTAACCCCCATCTGTTTTTATAGGTGCATCGCATCATGAATATTCTCAAATAAATAATTTCAGTAATTCAATTCAAAAAGTAAAACTCATATGTATAGATTAATCTGAAGAAGTCTGCTGACTTGACTATAGCCCAGCAGACCTTTGACTCTCCAGGAGGAGGACAGGCCGTAAAGGACCGTTTTGAGACAAGAGATGATGTACAAAATATATAATCACGGCCCCACGGGCCACCAGACGTTTCCACTACATGTGTAACAAGTGTTGCTTTAAGCAGCAAATACCAGAGGTATCCTACCTCTACTAAGGTGAAAAAGCACATGGGTCTAATTTTTTAGAGGAAAGAATAGTCCTTATTTTCCCGCTACGCTGACACTTCAGCTTTTCATTTGGAAATTGATGTTCCAGAGTTGTGGAGAAGTGAGATATTGATTTTTTTTTTTCCAAGTAGTGCAAGAAATCTGCAAACGTAGTCAAATGTAGCCGACAAATCCTTGTTATACTGAATGAGTAACAATGGTATCACTGGGATTGACTGCAAGTGAATCACCTAGAGATTTAATTCAATATTATTTAAAGGAAGAGGAGACACTAGGGCTAGCGGTGCAGATAAGCTAAAAGCTAATGTTTGCCAGCTGTAATTTATGCAAACGGAACCTCAACCAATTATTGTCTGCATATATGGACCATTTTCAATGATTTACTACATTAACAGGAATAAATAACGACTTTACTCACATATCTAATGAGTTTTACTTTTTGAACTGAATTTCAGAAATAAACAATTTTCCAGACGCATTCAAACCAATTCAGATCCAGCTGCATTTTGACAGAACATAACTCTTGAGAAAACAGAAGCTCATCAAGTAGTTGGAAACAGGCTCACCTTAAAATTCTGCCCACTTCTTCTTTGCAAGCTAAAGATAAATGTTCAGAAGCGTCTCTTTATTTTAATGTTGCAGGGCAAATTTAAAGTTGTAGACAAATTCATGAACATTTTTCAGAGGGATCCTTCTATTCCTCCATTTATTTCTCATGAGATGTAGGCCCACACAAAAAAAGATGAATTAATCTGAACTGAAAAGTGCAGCATAATAAATATATTTACAGCATACCTCTACATGGCACTCTAATTTACATAATTAGGACACAGATGTTTTTGTCTCTTGATCAGTTTTCACCCTCACACCACAGGGTTCTTAACGGTCAATGTTCTTTTAAAAAGGACATCAGCTGTTTTGTAGTCATTTCAGAAAAACCGAGATTAGCAAACTCTGTGGCTTTAGCACGTCATGTGACCTTAGCAGCTATGCTCCGGCTTCCTTCACAGACAAATCCATTAATATCTGAAACATAAGAAATCCCCACCCCATTAAGCTTTGGGATAGTGAAAATATTTTAGCATATCAAATTTACAGAAAAGTAGAAAGAGTGGAATAAAAGCAAAAACCCAAACAATAGCATTGTAAATGTACATTCATTCATTAAATTCATTAAAAAAAAACCCCGAAACAAATCAAAGATGTTTGATCAATCAGCTCTTTTCATCCATTCCTGACTGTTTCATTAGATAATGGTGACGCTGGCTGAGGGCTGAGCACTTTCCTCGTGGGCGTGGCTCTTCAGCAGGTCTTTTATGAACTGCTCCAAAGCAGCAAAGTAGCCCTGACACTGCCACGTGTCGTTGTGCGTCCCCTCTGGAAAAATGGCCAGCCGTTTAGTCCGTGCAGGAGATAACTCGTACAATTGTTTCATCATAACCGGTGGGATGAGCTGGTCTGACAGACCTGACACAAACAGCGAAGGCATGCGGCAAAGCGCCACCTGTCTGTAGGACAGGAACTGATTCTTATAGCACCATAAGGGCAGCAGACGCATTGGCAAGAAGGAGAAGAGAGTTGAAGCCATGTGAGGAATGCTAAGGAAGGTGTTTTCAACGATGATGGCTGCTACGCGGTGAGGATTCACTGATGCCAGACGCAAAGCCACAGCGCCTCCAAGTGAGCGACCAAAGAGTACCACTTTTGTTTTGTCCAGGTCTGGGCGGGTCATGATATAGTCTAATGTTGCTTCAGCATCCAGGTACAGTCCATCTTCACATGGCTCTCCCTCACTTTTTCCATAGCCACGATAATCCATAAGCACCACATTTGCTTTCAGATTGACAAGCATTAGAAGTGCGTTTGGCACCCTGTGTCCAATATTACCTGCGTTACCGTGGAAGTAAAGGATTGTAGGAGGAGCAGAGGAAGTGGGGCTGCTCTGATTGTTAGAGGAAACGCCTGATGGTGAATCACCTCCTGTGTAACGAAGAAGGATGAGGTTGAGTTTCACCCCGTCTTTGGTGCGAATGTAAACGTTCTCATGAGGGATTCCAGTTGGCATCGGGACATACAGGCGAGAGGAGGAAGGCTGGTCAGGAAAGTAGAGAAGAACATCCTGAAATTTGTAGAGGATGCCTGCTACAGATGCGAGGATGAGAGCTAAGAGGAAAAAACCTCCATATAGGTGGAAGGTGAGGATGAGAGCCAAAAGGGACACTCGGCACGCACCCCAGGACCAAGACACTAGAGTCAGGGTGCAACGCTCCATTGCACCCCACAGCCTCCAAGGCTTCTCCATAGCGGTACTACAAAATGCAAAATCTGCAAAATAAAGTACAAGAAAAAATGGGAAATTATTAACTACAACTATACAGGAAGAAAAAGAAACCATACATTTCTCTTTTAAACACATTGACTATAAAGTTATGCATTTGCATTGAGATGCATTTACTTATTATGTCTGTATAAGGTCATAAAATAAACAAATATGACTGCTGCTCATGTAAGGGGGGAGCTATTTAATCTAAATATGTTGAACAGAAAAAAAAACCCTTTTAAAAATCTTTGGAAATGTAACTCTGACTAATAGGTCGCCAAAACATATAGTCACAGAGATGGGACACTGTGAAAAAAGTCATAAGTATGCAGATTTGACTCGTGGCAGGAAATAAGGGATTACGCCATATTAAAACAAAAAATAAAGGGGGGAATATTTTATTGTGCCACACCATCAGAAACAGGCCGCTGCTATATTTAAAGGCTGACCAAAGGGCTAGGGTATTTCACGAATATTTCAGTATAAGCCGATCCCTTAAAATCACCCCCAACCTAAAATAAAATACTCAATGTAACAATAAATACGTATCATATGATACAGATTGAAGAATATTTCTTCATCAGTCAGGGGCAGAATATCATGGACAATTTCTAAAACAAAATCAACAAGCACTGAAACAGAAAGGTAGGGAAGGCACTTGGATAAAATAACTCCAGGTTACAGAGACATAATACAAGAAAGAAACATGTTTAGACTCCACCCAGAGTGAATAAACGGTAAAAGCTGCTGTCATAGATGTTATTACGAATGCCTAACGTCATTCGGTCACGGATGTCGATGCTTAACCGTATTTATATTCTTTTACAGTGAGCTGTCAAATCCGCAAAGATGGTGCTGCTAATAAATGTGGCCTTAATCCCCCAGAAATGTTGCCCTTTTTTCACACGAATTAGCTCAGTCCCCGGAATGCTAAGCACAATGCTATCTTTGGCTACAACAAGCTATTGCAACGGTAGGCTATAGCTACTGAAGTTAGCCACCTAGCTGTCATTATAGGGTGGACCAAGTAGACAGCTACTCACCCTTCTCTCATTTCTAATGTCTCATTTGAATGAATTGGTTGGAAAACAATGATATATAAAAGATGCAGCTACTGCCATTCAGCTTTGCATCAATTTACGAGTTTAAAATTATAACAGAAGAAAAGTGAATGACATCCACAACCGGTAGGGTGAGTTACAAAGGCTAGCATTACCGGCGCAACCTGTATCTTCCTCCGTAGTGGGAACTCAGTCAGAAGAATAGTTCCGAGGAATGTGTTCACTTTACATTACTACAGTCAAATGTAGCTTTGGCACACGTTTGCAACATCGTTTGCAGGCTAAAAAGTGTGGATTAGTAAAATGTCATACTTTGTGCATTTTTTAGAATAACACTTTAGCCTATGTGCATTCGTCTGTAATGCTCGACTTTTACCCACCAGGTGTCTCTCTTAGATAACGCATACATTTCTGATATCACACATATATGGCTAATATAATTATTTAATATAATATGATAATACTATGTTATTTTATAATCAGATAGATAGATAGATAGATAGATAGATAGATAGATAGATAGATAGATAGATAGATAGATAGATAGATAGATAGATAGATAGATAGATAGATAGATAGATAGATAGATAGATAGATAGATAGATAGATAGATAGATAGATAGATAGATAGATAGATAGATAGATAGATAGATAGATAGATAGATAGATAGATAGATAGATAGATAGATAGATAGATAGATAGATAGATAGATAGATAGATAGATAGATAGATAGATAGATAGATAGATAGATAGATAGATAGATTTTTATTTAAAGAAATCTTGTTTGGACAGTTTCATATATGAAACAACACTTGAACAGTTGCTATCATCCTCCACTTTCATTAGATTGATATTCTATTAAAAATATACATGGAAATATATATAATATATAAGGCAAAAACAGCCTTGGCTTTTTAATAAGACTTATCCCTGTATTTAGGTTGCTCATTGGATTTGATGTTATTCCTTATATCAATCATTGTGAACTTGCAGAAAGGTCCTGTATTACAACAGCTGTGGGCAGATCAACGCTGTCCTTTAGGGTCTATGCGGACTGCCTGGATTCCTTTACCTTTTAGAGGAAATCTAATTACTTAGTGCCTAACAAGATTTAAGAAATATTCCTCAGATATTTTGGTTTATACTGAAATAATAGCAGTAGGAAACACGACTGCTATATAAAAGTTTATTACACACTTGGAATATTAATCTCATTTTCTATGAGATCCTAAATGTGGTATATTAGACAGAAATCTGCTGACTGTGATGGTGAATTAAATATATTGTATTAATTTTCATGATCATGAAACTAGTTGAGATTATGGTGTATTATTAGCCCGAAAGTCGGCTTCAAATTATGAAATACACTGTGGTCATAAAAATGATGGACATGGTCATCAACGAAACTTAGGTAGGCTGTGGCCTATAAATGATCTAAAATTGGCCCTAAATTGCAGCTAAAATTGAAACTACTGAGATCTGCAAGGTTTTTCCAATCTGCTATGGCTAGATTTTGGTGATCCTGTGCGAGTTGCAGCAGTCTGCAGCAGTCTGCAGTTTCAGCATGTCGTTCATTAGTTAGCAGCTCATCTCACTTTTACCCTTTGGATTTCTTTAATCAATGGAACAATTTCTTCCACATGACTTTTGCTTACTGGACATTTTCTTTTTATCACAACCTTCTCTGTTTTAAGTCATGATTTTCATTTAGAAATTAAGTAGATTGGCTATATTCCAAAATGTTTAGACTCCTAATCTGGCAATGTTGAAAGAGCTTATATACCCTTTACATTTTTTTATTTTGAATTGTCACTATATAAATAAACTGAATTGGATTTAATTGCACTGCATTTTATGAAAATGCCTATAATAATGTTTATTTTGAAAGATAAGATAGCCATTTGTTTTTGTTTTGACACTGATATATATATATATATATATATATATATATATATATATATATATATATATATATATATATATATATATATATATATATATATATATATATATATATATATATATATACAGAACAAAATAGCAAAGTATATGATGGGACATGCATAGAATAACACATACTTTTCTTTTTGAATCATAGAATGTGCTTCATCCTGATGTATGTGGTTATGAGAAACTGACAGCTGGCAGGTTCACTCTTGCTTACCTATGACTCAATTACCTTTGACATAGCAGTCAAAACATCTATTACACATGCACAAACACACACACACTCACAATCTTCCACACAACCCCTCTCTGTTACTTCACTCCTGATCCCATGGCTCAATTACTTGAAATATAGCGGCAAACAGCTGGAGGGCTTTAGCTCAATAACATAGCGTCAGAGCAGCTATAGGACGAGGACTCACTGCGATGACCTGGCAGGGTGTATACTACCACTGGGCTGACGGAAATACTTATCATTCAGCTCACACTGTGTCTCCACTCTGGCCACCTAGGGATGGAGTAGCAATTTCAAAATATAGCCATGTTTCTCTTTGATTACATTAAAGTTTAAACCTGAGCTAGAGATGGAGTGCTGATGCTTCAGCTTGTCAGAAGGGTTTTATGACTGAAGCAGTTACATCATTGTGGTTGTCATTCTTGCAGTGGTTGCCTTTATTCAGGTCAACTAAAATGATACATCATTAGTAGAATCTAAATATGATGCCTTGTCAAAGGTGATAGATGTTAGTATTCATAGCTGCAATTTAGATATCTTGTCACTTTGGATACAAGACATTAAACTGAGACAAAATGAGGAAAATTCTGCAGCTCTTCCTTTCTTCATGAACTTGTTGGAGCTTTATTGTAATTTAATTTAAGGCAGCTTTTAATGCTATTATACATTTCTGGTGTTGTGTATCGCAAGATTAAGCTGCCATCACCTGGCACTGTGGCCGTGCAAAGTTTGACCTACAAACTGTGCCTGGCAGGAATAAATCAGTTAGAAATTGCTGGATGTCTAAAGCTGCAATTAGGGGGACCTGCAATGACAGAGAAGGTCGATGTGTGTTAAAGGTTACATTTCCCCAATTTCCCTTGCAGTAAACCTAGAATGACATATAGCACTCTAATTGGCCTTCTTATCTTTTGTGTATTCATATGTTTATTTTGCATGAAATATGTCAATTTGCTTGTAATATGGAGGGTAATTACATGGAAACCGGGCATAATAATTGGATGTAACTCTAACATGAGGCCTTTGCGTAAAGACAGGCAATTTAACAGCCTTGTTTGCTTCATGAACAGTACTATTTGAGAAAAATGTCCAAACTGTTATTACAAAGGCTTTCATTTTCTTAAGTCTCCTTAGAGTGGGAGAAATCTTATCTTAATCGGCTGCATCATCTGGTGTTTTATTTAATAATGTGCTCTGTTGGTAGCAGTGAAAAAGAGATGTCCCTTTAATGCTTGTAAATGTAGCAGAAATCTTACGTTAGTAGGCGTTTTATCCAGCTTTGCATAAAATTGGAAGTAGAGGTAAAAACTTATTTGGCTCCATCTGCAGCTCAAAACTATATCTGCTAAAGGCCTTTAAAGTTACTAATAACCCTTTTTAATGCTCAAAAGTAAAACTTTAAACTTTTCTAATTTTCCCCTTACTACATGTATAATTTATCCAATTTTCTATTTTCATTGTAAGACATTGTATTTGAAGAAGTATAAAAATGCAGTGAGGGAGAGAGTGTATTTGTTTATCAGCAGCAGGTGTTACTATCAGTATAGTGAGAAAGCCTCACATATACTGTATCTTTGTGTCACAGGATCAAGGGAACCCCCAATTACCAACAAGCATCTTCATTTTTGCTTTCAAAACTTTCCAGGTATGAATATCACCATCACGCCGTCTGCCTTTCACTTCAGTATTGAATTAAACAAAGTTTTAAGTAAATCATGTTATTTTTATTATATCCGCTGCCAATGTACTGTAAACTACCAAAGAGGTTTTGGAAATGTAAAAGAATTATGTGGCACATGCATAGAAACTTAGAGGAACAAGGTATTTCCCACTGCTACACACATTTTACAAGTGACTGCAACGAAATTATAATAACTGTACCTACAAAGGATAAGCAGTTTTTTTCCCCTGTATGCATGCAACCATTAGGGTCGATGGAGAGCTGGATGTCCTTTGTTTTTCATTCAGCCTTTTTCTGACCCTTTGGAGCCATCCATGTACTGCAAACTCAGCATTTTAATTTTACTCCATAATGGTCATATGATTACTTTATATATAAATAACAACTAATACAAGATATAGTAAAATATGTTTTTAATTTAGTTTCTGTACTGCAGTAAGGACTGTGGAACCAGTGGTGTGGCCTGACTGGTAGTCTCCTCTCTACATGGAGAGGAGTCAGCTACGGTGGTTTGGACAACTTTTTCTGAAGCCTCCTGGTTGCTTCCCCTGAAAGGTGTTCCAGGCACATCCCACCAGGAGGAGGCCCAAGGGATGGCCCAGTACACACTGGAAGGACTATGTAGCATTAAAACACCTAGGGCTTCCCCCAGCAGAGCTTGAGGAGGCATTTGGAGAGATGGAATGAGACTGCTGTCCCAACAACCCCGTTCTGGATAAGCGCAAGAACAGTACAAGTACTAAAACGTACTTGAAATAAAAAGAATACCTCTTTGTGAATGATTTTATCTAACAATTTCAACATAGCTAAAACCTAAACAAATTGATTCTGCATTTTATACGTACAATTGAATCATTTATGGGTATCTATTATGTGCAAAAGACTGGCTTCGTTATCCAATGATATTATTTCATCTAGAAATATGAAATATATGTTCATGATATATACAGCCCAGGATGTATCAAAATATATCCTAAATCAACAATGACCCTCAGAGCAGTTAATAACTCTTTGTGCGACAATGCCACAGGGATATTTTGACCACAATAGATGCTTTGAGATGTACCCAGGGACTTCATGCAGCATATTGATGGACAGAGATACTTCAGGATTGTTTAGTTAAGAGGTGATTTTCACTTTTCTTTTCAAACTAGTTTTATTATGTTAATAAATAACTTATTGTGTTAGTTGTAAAAAAAATATTGCAGTGGAAATAAATCCTTTGTGAACATGAGAACAGAAGAAAAATAAACATTCAGTAGCACACTTTTAATTATAATGTCCATGACAGCTACATTTATCAT